GGGGGATCTCTGCCCCAAGGAAAGTCCCTTTGCAAATTGCTGCCAAGACAGAGATTGGGGTCAGCACCCAGCTCTGCCAGGGTGCCCGAGGAGATGCCACCCCACCACAGAGCCCCGTACATAACCATGTCCTGTGCTGTCCTGACACTACAGGAGACGTAAGCCCACTCCTCACTGGGTCCACACTCTGCATCAATATCCCACAATGCTGGAGAATTTTCATGAAAGCCTGACATATATATATACACATATATATACACATATATATATATATTTCACATCCCTTTTTGCCTATTGCTGGCTGACACAGCACTCGCACCTGGGAAGGTAATCATGGGAAGCATTTGAGATGCTGATAGCAACGTGTGTGTTCAGGTTTAAAAGCATGGAGGGGCAGTTGCTGTAAGAGTGTGTGAGGACAGAGTGATCATTAGTACCTGCTTATTGAAGTTTACCTGCTCTGTAACAGTGGGTTTCTCTTTGCCATCAGATTTAATTCTTCTGTAATTACATTCCTAATATAGAAATCATTTGCCATTTATTTGCCATAATAAAACTTCCCATTGCATTTAAATTCAGTGTGAAGATTTAAGTGTATTTAGGAGACTCAGTTGAAGACCTGAAATTAAATATTCCTGGTTTCCTTTTCCAAACAAGGCAAACTGAGATAAATGCTAGCAGTCAGATCCATGCGTGCAGCTGCTCCTGTGAGCAGTGGCAGCTGCATGTGCATACCCACAGAGAGATGCCAGCCCCCGTAGTGTGGACGACTCGGCTGCTTCTCACTGCACCACACTGGCCTGGGCACTGGTCCTGCGGGTGATGCCAGCGACTGATGCTACTGTGTACGCCTGAATAGGGAAAACACACAGTTGAGGAAAAACTGCAGGTATTAAGATCACCATCAGCCATCCCGGTTTTGCACTGGTTTTCAAAATGTTTGCTTTAATAGTTGTGGCAGCGGGATGTTGCTAACGTGGCGCTTTCCAGCTGAGCTGGGGTGCAGGAGCAACCCAGGCAGCAGACGTAGGTCAGCACGGCTGGAGCTGGGAGAACCCAGAAGACCAGTCCTGGCCCAATGACACCATTGTCCCCAGCCCTGCCACGTTCAAAGGAGACCAGGTGGACAAATTTGCTATACTGAATTTATAGTTAAAAGAACAGGCCTGGGAAACACATCCCATGACCACCTGCTGGTGGGTGAGCAGCTGCAGCTTTGGTAGCAATATGTGGATGGGCTCCCAGCACTGATAAATGACAGATAAAACGGCCGGGTGAAACTCTGACACCAGCACGCAATAGGGGTGATGCTGCTCCTGATGTTATTTTCTCCCTAGATATACCGAGCATCAGAAGCGTGTGCTGGCAATAATTTTTTTTTTCCATCCTTCCTCAGAATTCCTCCCAGTAGGCTTAAAATAGCAGGGCCCAGATAATCATTAAGCACTTTGACATACTGCAATGGGCACAGATTGGGAATTCATGACAAGAGGACAGAGCGGGAGCAGACCCGCACTCCCAGTTCATCTCCAGCAGTATCATCCTCCTCGGGGTAAAGCCAGTTCAGCCTGGCCTTGCTGCTGCTGCTCCTAGAGACACGTTCCAATCACAGCCAGAAATAGGGAAGAATATTATGTATAATTGCTTAATATATTGCTCTTCCCAGAAGTAGGGAAGAGTAATAATGTATAGGGAAGAGTATTTCATCTGTATGTTGAGAGGGTTATGGCTGAAGCCAGAACAACCCTTCCCTTTTTGTTAACTCTAGTTTTCCACCTTTGACATGAACCCTAATCTGGACTTGGGTAACAACAAAAAAAAAGGCAGGTGCCCTAAATCCTAAGCCCACTTGGTTGTTTCAGGGAAACAAGATGGTACTGAGCAAGGTGAGGATGAAGCTTGCGGCCGGGAGGCATTTCTCCAATAGTTGCTGATAAAGCAGAAATGCTCCTTAGGCTGATACGAGTGACGGGTTGTAACTCTACAAAGGAAAATTGCAAAAATAAGTAGACCCTTCAAGGGGTCTTTGGAGAGCAATCCCCAAAAGGAATCGATGAGAACGCTGTTGTTTGAAGCACTGGAGAATATATTGTGCAGAGCTGACTTCTATAAACCAACAGAAAAGGGCATGGGGATTTAATTTCCATCTCTAATTGCTGTGATCTGCACCTCATTTTGGGCTTGCTTTTGTGTGCATGTAGCTTTTAGCAGAGGTCTCTGCGCAGCAAATCCTTCATGCGTATCACAGCCGATGGACTTCTCCTGAGCTCACCGCACAGCCAGCGGTGAGACTCCTCCTTTGCTGTACAAAGGATTTATTCCTTTAATATGCCCCTGATGTTTATTTTTCTGCTGGTACAGGAGTGCATGTGCGCGTGTGTGCATGTGGCAGTGTTTTACGAATGCCTGCTGTGGACAGAATTGGGCTTCACAGTATGCAAAAATAGCTGTGTGCCCCACACAAGGATATAATATTTAACACGGCTGGAGAAAATGTGATAAATCAGGTTTTTGCTGGATTTGCAAAAATCAAGAAACTAGGGGATTCATCTCCACAGTTGAGCCCAGAGCTCCTGCAGGAGCCAGCAGGACTGTCTGGGTTGGAGCATCCCAGTTAGGGAAGGGGTGCCAGGTCCCCACAGCAGTGTAGGATGTTTATGGACATGTCTTGGCTCTGAAGAGACAAGCTGAGATTTTTCAGACTTGTTCATTACAGAGCTCAAGAAGCCAACGTGAGCCCAGGCTGCAGCTACAGCTTTTCTCCTCTGCCTTTGCCTGGAGGTTGTTGCTCTTAGTTCTTGCTCTGTTCTGCCCCGTTCCTGATCCTTCATCACCAGTGCCTCCAGCTGCTCATTAGACAAAACCCAGGACCCTCACTCGCCCCTTTGAGCCCTGCAGGAGGCCCCAGTGTGCGACGAGGTGGAAAGGCAGGGATGGTGTAGAGCTGGGAGGTTTCTGTGTTACCCGCTCGGTGCTGGGATCACACTTGTGCACAGAGGAGTGAAGCTGTTGAGAAAATAAAGCACCAGGGACTGAGATGAGGAGGCACGGAGCAGCAGTCCTTGTACCAGGCTGGCTCTTGGTGTGGAAGAGGTTTGGTGAGCAGGAGAGTGGAGGAGCTGTGCTAAGCCCTGATCCCTCCCCTTTTGCACCCTGGCTGCAGTGCTCATGCTGGTTCCTTACCACACCTGTGCTTTCCCACCCCAGTCCCAGCAAGGGGCACAAACATGCACAGCTGAACCTGAGCCTCTCAAACTTGCAGCTCATATGGAGATTCTGGACACCAAATGCCAGCGCTCCTTCCCACACACACCTTCCTCCCATCTAATCCTTCCCTGCTCCCCTTCACCTGGCTTGTCCTGTTGCACCTTTCCAGGCAAAAAAGGTTCATGGATCCTACAAGCCTCCTTGCTCCCCCTCTCCCTTTGTGTCCCCTCCTGTGTGTAACGAAAACCAGTGACAGGTAGAGCTGAGCCTGGGTTTGTAATATAAGCAGTTATTTACAGTTTTGCTAAAATTTTGTGGAAGGTGATGTTTTTAGGTCACCTAGCTGAAGCAAATAAAATTATTAACGTGTTTGCATTAGGTTTCATTAAAAAAAAAATATATCACCCAGCGTGGTGCTCAGTTCCCCAGGTCCCGAGACCTGTCACGGTACCCTGAAAGCTAAGGCAGTTTCCCACCAGGGTTAGCAAGAGCAGGATCTGGTTTCCCAACCCAAGGCAGCTGGGATGGGTGTTTTACTGTGTCCAGCAGCCTCAGGTGCCAGGGTCTGTTATCCTTGTGCTACATCAGTGGTAATGATGGGGCTGATCTAGAGGTGTAAGAGGAAATATCCTCTCCCCAACACTGGAAGTATGCTGCCAGCCTTCCCCATCCTGTAGACATTCTCATTCTGCCTTTAAAAGCTTTTAAACCTTGGAGCACAGCTAAATACACAATCAGGGTCTATACCGTGGCTTTTAAACACTAAAGGGTGGGGAGTAAAATGTAATGGCTCTGTTCTTCCCTAAATAAGGGATGGCAAATGACTGTAAAATGAGCTCCTGAGCTTGTGTGTGCAGAGGGGAATTTAGTCCCATGGTGAACAGGATGATAGCAGCTGGATCAGAATAAAATTGAGGTTTCCGGGATACCCCTGTTTAAAGCTACACCAGAAACAGGGGAGTAAGACAGGAGAATCCGTGTTTCAGCCACCACACATAAATGTCTGTGTGTCACAAGCCAGGACACAATTTTTTCTCTATCTTGCTTGCTTCTAGGGTGGAAATAGCCAGCCCTACAGGCTGTCCACCAGTATGACTCACTTTTGGGGCAGACCGTCTGGGGGAAGTGGACGGGGGTGTGTGAAATTTGAGGACCTTTTCCCTGCTGGGCTATGGGTACACAAAGACCTGGACCCAAAGCACACACCTGCCACCCATCCATGGTCAGGTTCATCACTCCCAGTCTGGGAGCACTGGGAAGGAGAGACCTGTGTCCAGGGCTGCAAACGCCCACTGCCTGGCAAGTCCTGGGAGGCTCTGCACGGCGCTGGGCTCAGTCCAGCTCCTGGGGAGGAGCAGCACCTCCATGGCTGGCATGAACCAACCTGTGCAGAAAGTCCAACGGCCACCGCATATGTGGTTCCCCTCCTGCACGGCTGGGCTCGGGGAGCCTGCTCCGGGCTGAGTGGGATACAGCCAGCAGCAGAGGCTGTCTCGCAGCTATCCCCACCGCCAGCCTCACTTTCTAAAATTGGTAGCAGAGAGGCAGAAACCTGAGTGGTGAAACAGTGGCATCTGGTTGCAGAGCTGTCCCCGCTCGTTGTCTAGCGTGGGTGCTCTGGTGTCTAGTAAGAACTGTGCTCACCTAGCTTTCCCTTCAGCAATGATACTAGGCATCTTTCATCTACCCAGCTGTCTCTTTCCACAAAAAATTGTAGGACCCAAATATTCGAGACCATTACATCCCTGTCAAACTCTGTTCACATCAGCCAAGAATTATTAAAGGGAAAGCGGATGGAGGCAGCACGGTTGCCTAAGCCACACCAGGTAAAGAGGATCAAAGAGCAAACGGGTGGATGACGGAGCTCCTGCCGTGCCGTGCCGTGCTCAGGCCCTGATGCTGTCTCTCTGTTTCAGGGGGAGTTGCTGAGCCCTTGTCGATGCGACGGATCGGTGAAGTGCACGCACCAGCCATGTCTGATCAAATGGATTAGCGAGAGAGGCTGCTGGAGCTGTGAGCTGTGTTACTACAAGTATCACGTCATTGCCATAAGCACAAAGAACCCTCTGCAGGTAAAGGTACTAGAGACATTTCAAAGTCTATTTATTATCGTTTCTATTTTTGTTTCTGGGAGCAAGTGGATTTTACCTGCGTGGGTTTTCCTTCCCTGCACGCACTGATCCGTAGAAAGGGTTGTTGGGGGCTGGTCCAGGGAGACCCCATGTTCTGCTTGGTGGCACTGGGGGCATCCCTCAGATGTCTGCTCTTTTTGTCTTTTGGCAATTCTCACATTCATTTTCCTCCTGTTGAAAACACCGGTGTGACCACAATGGTGCCGTAACACCTCACAGCCCTTCAAATGTGTTCATCCACTGGAGACCACAGGTATGCCACTGTCCCCAGGGGCAGATGGGGACAAAGGAGTTACGGGATTTGCTACAACAGAGCACGCAGTTCGTGGCAGAGCAGTGTCTTGAGACCCCGTATGTCTAGAGTTCTGCCATTAACCCCCATCCGGGCCTCCTCTGTGTTGGCACGAGGGACAGAGGAGGTAGATGGAGGCTCTTACAGCTCTCCTCTCTGATCCTGCCACCCTTTTCACTTTACTGCTCCCCCATGATCAAATACATCCTGGCATGGCACAAGAGGTGTTGGTTCTAATGCTCTGGTCTGTCCAACCCTGATTCTCAGTGGACGTTTGCAGATGGGCACACAGCAGGTAAAGCACATCTTGGTATAAGTGGCTGTGAAAGGCCTCAGAGGACCCACCTTCTTTCTCTTCCGAGTCCAAAAGCACTGTGGTTTAATAAGTCCCACTGCAGGCTGGTAGCTGAAATCAAGATTCAGAATGGGGAAAACTGTGTGACTGTTAAAAAATGGGATAAATTATCCTTAATAGCTATTGATTTATCACAGGGGCAACACCTGAAGATGGACTAATTGCTGCATGCCTTTGCTGAGCACCATTAGTGCCTTGGACGTAAGGAAGCACATTATATCCAGGCACTACAGCTTAATTAGCATCATCTGGACTGGAGAGACATTACAGCAGCATGCTGTGGTTTAGAGAGCAGGGCAATGTCTCTAAGTATGTTGGTCTGCCCAGGACCTGGCTTTGGGTCTCTGCTGGTCGCTCTGCTCTCTAACAGGAGGCAAAGACTTTGCCAATGATGGTGCCCCATTTACGGGGGTGGAAGGAATGCAAACTCCTGCTCTCTCCTCCAAACTGCAGTCTCCATGTGTCTTTTTCCAAGCCCGAGGTCACTCACCACAGTGAGGAAGCAGGGACAGCCCTTTAGGACTCTAGACTTAAATGAAGTAGTGAAATTAGTGGGGCATCATGGGGAAATTTTGCTGGGGGGAAAGGAAAAAGCCTGCCTGCTCTCTGCAAGCCTCTACAGCTTCTGATTCAATTTTCCATGTGCTGTTGGCTGGAGAGATCAGTAGTTTCATCCCAAACCCCAGACCCAGGGTGTTTTAATTTCTTGGCTCTAGTAACTCAGAGCAGATTGAAACACAGGAGGAGAGATGCGGACAAAGCAGCGTTTGTTTATTTCTGGAAAGCTGGTCCATGAGTGCCCTAATGCTTCGTGTGTCTCAGCTCGGGGGCGCGATGCTGAGCAGCACTGAAGGTTTGTGCGTGCAGATTTGGGAGCACGTGTGTAGCCAGAGCAGCCCTTAATGAATGACCTCCAATGCTCTACACCTTCAGGTGGCTCAGGGCAACAGGTCAGTGACTTTCCTCCTGCTCCTTGCTCGGCTAAAATCTGTTGGAGCTGTTCACAGACAAGCTCCCCTCCCACGCACACCTTTCAAAAGCTTTGCTCTTTCTGGGCTGCCCTGTTAGAAAGTGGCCTGATCTGCTGGCCTTTGCCACAAACACAAAAACCGAGTAGCTGGACCACCTGAGTTAGAGAGCTCAGCTCCAGGAGCGGGGGTCCCAGGGGACCGTGCAGACCCTGGGCTCAGAGGCTTCACGTTGCTGGCTTAGACCTCACAGCACTTCTTGCAGAAGCGCTGGGAGATTTGGAGGCTGGGAAGAGGCAACTGGAGTGAAAAGCCACTAGGTCTGGAATAAATGCGGCGTGTGTGGAGTTACAGCTGCATGCTTGGGCACCCTGCCTGCTGCCAGCACAAAGGCACTTCTGGGCAGCAGATGCTACACCAGCACTAGTATGTGAAATCCCGTGGGAAGTGGCTGATGTACCAGGCCTGGACTTCCCATGAGGTCTAAGGGCTCGAGCCCCCCGTAACCCATCACCGTGCATGCCATTGGGGTTTCCCTCATTCCTCAGTGGCTCTCACCATCCTCTGGTGCTGGGAAAGGGAGGCAGAGAGGACCTAGGGGCTGCAATGCCCTGACACTATGTGCCATAACAACACGTCACAGTGTGTGCAGGCGGGAAGAGCATCCTTTCTGCTCGGACTTCACCCCACACAGGGATAACAGGGGCCACCTGGACATACAAGCATGTCTCTAAGTAAAGCAATAGTCCCTGGCCTTTTTTCTCAGGGTCTGCTGGAACTTCTGCCCAGCTTTATTCTTACTAGAAAGCTCTGAATTTCCCAAGCACAGGTTTTGGAGGACAAATGCTGTAAGAAGTCAGGGTCGTCTATTTATTCCAGACCAACCGTAAGACAGGCAAGGACCACACAAACCTCACCTCCTTGTCAAATGAGACTTGCTTGGGTGATGCTCTGAGCCTGCCTAGATTTTAACCAGCAACGTGGCCTACCTATCCCCTGCGACTATCCCCGTGTCCTCCCATGTGACAGACTGCTGGAAAGCCAGACCCAGACAGCTGGCAAGCCCTGGGCTCCCTGAAGCACGTCCAATTGGTCTGAGGGGAGCAGCACCCCCAACACCCACGTGTTCCCCAGGATCTGCATGTTTCTCTGCCCATTTTGACATCTGCTGCACATTTTTTGGAGTGCCTAAGGATCACGGCACGGGCCAGATGTGTGTGGAGATGCGTGGCGTGGGCAGAGAAGTTACAGCCTGGGGAGCACGGTTCATGCATAATTAACACAGACTCCTTCCAGCCTCCAGGCTGTTATGATGTCTCATTCCAGAGAGAGGCCTTTAGTCTGGTATTTTGGCAGAATGAATCGCTATAAATTAACACCACCACCCCCATCGCTGGATTGCAAGCATTTAAGAGCAAAGGTCTTAAAGCAGCAACACTGCAAACCTGATGAGACTAGGGGATTAAAGTTGTTGGACAACATGGCAGGTATCCTGCCAAGCAGCTGTCAGGCAACAAATGAGCAAAAATATCCCACCAGCTGTGAGCAACCAGAAGATCCAGAGCTTTTGTCCGTCTGTCTGTCCGTCCATCCATCTATCCATCCATCCGCCTGCTCTCCAGTCTGCCAGTCCAGTGAGACAGGAGTCATGGGCATGGAGGCCTAAATGCTCCTCTCCATTGCAGTATTTGTGCAAAGCCTATGATTTTAAAAAGGCCCTGAAGACACAAGGTTTTAGAAGCACATGATAGCGCTGCAGGTACACTGGTGCTGACACATGGTGGAGAAGGCATCTGCTGTGACTCGACTCTGCAGTGGATTTCATCTATACAGTTCCTTTGTAGCCGCTCCTGAGCCACATCCACTCTGATTTTAGCAAACAAAATCTGTTCGAACCAACCTACCCAGACCTACAACTGTCTGCAGTCTCGGGGAGTTCATCTCTGCTTTATCGTTGTTATCTCTGACTCTTCCTGTATTGTGGGTAGTTTCAGCTCCAAAGGTCCTGAGTTATCCAGTGCTGGGGTTGGGATCTGGTCCCCATTCTCCTCTGGCTCTATTTTGACTGTGGTGATGCTCTTTTAAGAGCTGATGAGCATTTGTTTATATGGCCTCTTCATCAGGACACCCACATCTGCAAGAAAAGTGGCCAAGGTCCCAGTATGTTTGACCTTGAGCCTGAGCTCCTGGTTGTCCCAAACTGCTGAATCACTTGTGTTGAGTATGAGCTTTGGCTGGTCCCTGCTGAGCTCCAGCTGCAGCCTGCAAGCAATGGGTGCAATCACAGCAGGAGAGACTTCATGGCCTCTGCCTTATAACGGGGGCTTTCTAGGATATGGATGCTGTAGCCTGGGTCATACCAGATGCTCTGGCACATGGAGGAGAGGGGGTTTCATCACTGCACGTTTCCCTTACACAGCCCTAGTGGACCCTCCTTCCCCCCTGCTGCCTTTCCAGTATCTGAATAAGCCACAGCATCTGTAAACGTACAGCAGGGAACCGATCACAGCAGTGACATAACTTTGCTTGGTGAATTTATAAAAACAAAAGCCATCCTCCAAAAGATAATTGGGCCTCAGGAGAGCAGCGAGGGGAGAGCCAGACCTAAGCAGGGCTGGGAATGGTCCACTCCAACCTTCTAGGAAAAACCTCTGCTCACTTGTGATCCTGGGTCTGAAAATTAAATTGCTGACTGGCACAGCTCGGGATGTTAATGGTACGCAGTAAGGGGACGTGTCAGATACAGCAATAAAAATAAACTGAACTGCCTGAGGCAGGCATGGGGGAGCTCTCAGAAGAGTGTAGGAAGGCTTTTCCAGCAAGCAAGTCTTCTTTGCAAGCTGCTGCAGTAAGACGTAGATATCTTCTGCAGGCAAATATCTGCCTTGGATCTGCTCATGCTGGTGCTTGGGAACGTTTGGAGACTGCTGGTGCCAAAGGGAAATACAGATCAAGCCTTAAATACTATAGTAATGACATTATTAATCTGTGTTACATTAGCAGCAGGAGTTTTCAGTCACAAGCCTCTGAGCAGAAGCACTGAAGCAAACAGGGAAACAGGCTTGTCCCAAGTAGAAGACATAGGTTACAAAACAGTGCAAGAGAACAAGGGTGGCATGACTGGCAGGCAGCAGTCCCAGCTGGGCCCCTGGCGAAGGTCATCGCAGATGTCAGACCTGGGCTCCCAGGAAACCCTTTTTGAGGCGTCTGGGTCACAGAGCTTTGTGATTTAGGGAAAATGGGGAAAGCTGGGGAAAATCAGTCCAAGAGAGTGTGGTGTTTTGCACTTGCACATCTGGGTGGTGTGCCAAAGGGGGATGGTAGCCGAGGACAGACAGATAGCTCCTGAGTGAATGAGGACATTTCTTCAGAATAGTCTGGAGGGGCAGAGCCCTTTTTCCAGCATGGATATCAAGCTAGTGTAGAGAGCTGCTTGGGCATGCTCGGAAGCCATGGTAAACCCAGAGCTCACAAAAGCTGTTCCTGTTATTCTGCAGGAGCCTTTAAAGCTTTCTGGTATCACCAAGTCCTTAGTTCTGCCCGGTTCAGCCCTGGCAGAGCATCTGTAGAGTTTTCTACCTGCCTAAAGGTCACATTACTGATTGACAGCCTGGGTGAGCTGCCGGTTGTCAAAGGTGCATTTCAGTATGGCTCAGTGGCTACCTGGGACTCATCAGTCATTATCAGCTGAGGAAAGAAGGGCTCAGTTTTAGGTCTCTCCCTGCAAGATGGGATTGCTTGACACGGTGACCTTGCAAGAGCTTGGACATTTGAGCTGGAGATGTGCAGGCAGGGGACTGTGTCTGTGGCCAGGCATTCAAAGAACTTTGGGGGTTTCAGACGTGCCAGTAAAGGGACCCTGCAGCATTGCTGAGACCTTTTTTTGCAGCTCTAGCAGTGACCCAAGGACAACAGGGTCACCCACCAAATCCCTGGTCTGCTGACTGTAATGATGGTGGAGAGAGGTTAGGAGAATGGGTGATTTTCTAAGGGCTGTTATGAAATCTGAAAGGCAAAGTGCTGTGATTGAGGCAGGCTCCCGAGGCCGCCGGTGCAGGGATGCATCAGGCCCAGCTCCTCAATTCATCAGCCCATTCTACCTCCAAACAGCTCTTGGACCCTTCTGCCTGCGCTTTCATGGGGTAACGTGCTTCATCCTCTGTCTCACCCCTTTTTGCCTCTCTGTGCAAACCTCATACCCTAGGATGTGTAGCAAAATGGAATTAAAAGATGAAAAATAATGACTCTGGTTATTGGTGGCTCGGGCTAGATGTGTGATGCTAAATTGCAGTTCTCAGGGTTGCCAGAGAGGAAATACAACATTTATTGCTTACTTCTTTTTTTTTTTTTTCCCCTGGAAAATATTAAATTCTTCTGCAAGCTGGTTATTTTCCCCAGTGTTCAGCTCTGACCCATTTACCTCCTTGCCAGAGGGTAATCACACCTCAGTGCCACCTCCTGAACGGAGCCAGGACTGCTGCTGCGTGTGTCACTGTCACTTAGTGCCAGATGCCGGGGGGGAGTCTCCTACCCCCTGGCACGGCTGACAGACTCCAGCCTCTAGGCAGCGGCCCTGCCTGTGTCCCAGCCTCTCTGTTCCCAACCAAAGGGACCGGGGTTTGAAGTTTGCACTCAGGTGTAGCTGCTCTGTTGCCCTGAGCCACATCCCCTTTCACAGTATATTTAGTACTACACCTCCCTATCTCTGCAAAGCAGTGGTGCTGATTGTATGCGGCTGCTAGTTGTAGGAAACAGCTCCTTCTTCTTTTTCTGTCTTTAATTGCTACCTTGGAAGGACCTGTTGCCAGCACAGGCCTTGCAGTGTGCCAGACAGATGGTGAGGAGCCAGACCGTTACCTCCTCGAGAGAGAGAAATGATGCAGAATGATTTGGCTGGCACAGGTGCACACAGGTCAGCATGAGGGACCTGCAGTAAAAACCTCCCCGTGCAGCACCAGGCTGTGCACTGGGCTCCCTCCACTCCTGTCCCCTCGGCGTTTGCCAGAGTTAGTGGAAGGGGAGATGAGGTCTGGGGAAAGCTGCAGGGGTGAGAGTGCAACCCAACGCCCCCCCACCATGTGCCTCTACTCCTGGAGCTCTGAGCTGATGGCACAGCTGATGGCTGTGGATTTGTCCTGCATCTGCTTATGGTGCTGGTGAGGACGAAGCTGGAGAGCTGACGGGAGGGCAGCATAGCTGCTGATCCCACCCTCAGAACTCAACTTTGGGGGTGACGGGTGCTGGGAGGTCTATTGCCCCCTCTCAGCTCTGAGGTGGCCTTTGCTCTGTCTCATGAGGGGAGAGGAGTGGCACAGCTGTGCGTCTCTTGTGGACTCCGGCACCCCTGTACCCTCCCATCATGACTGGTACCACCAAGCTCCCAGCCCTCAGAGGAGGGTGGTTCACTACCTCAACTTCTTCGTGATGCAAAGGGGCCGCTGGTGTGGCCAGATTTAGTGGAGGCATGGAGCAGATCGGGCTATGGCAGAGTGGGACTGGGCTGCTTAAGAGATCACTGAGCATCCCCAGTGCTCAGCGTTTGCCTTTGGCTGGGCCAGATGCTGGAGCGGATGGCAGGGAGGGGACTGGGGTTAGCTGAGCCCAGCCCTGCCTCAGCGGGCAACAGGTTCTCTTCTGCTCAGCAGCTTTATGGCCATCTACTCTGTAGCCAGCTACGAAATAAGCTGGTACCACCCACCTCACTGATGCTGCCCATCCCTGACATACAGTTTGAGGGCTGTCTGCCCTTGCAGTGCGTAAGCCAAGGAGCAAGGCTGGCAGAGGCAGACACTTCAGCTCACTGCTGAGCCAAGCTAGGCAAACTCCTTCCAGTTGCAACCTGCAGACCTCAGCCTCAGGCTGAAGCCCTTGTCTGTGCCCCTCCAAAGGCAGCCCTTTGCAGGGAAGTGCATTTGGTTCAGGGGTTTGGTCACTGGATTGGTAGCAGTGCCATGCGTGCCTGTACCAGCACAAGTCACCTGTTGTCCTTCTAGCCCTTCATTCAGGGTTGAAAGTCCTCCCTACCTCCCCAAACCCACTGGTAACTCCTGGCTGGAGGCACCCCGCAGCTGAACTCCCTTCCTGCCCTGCAAAGGGATGGGACGAGGCTTGACAGGTGACCCTGCTGTCCCAGGATATGTTTGACAAATGGGCAGGGTGTTGAGGGATCGCCAGAGATGCCACCTCACAGGGACACTGAATTTGGGCTGAATCCAGGCTAAACATTTTCAATTCCTCTGAATCCTCTATACCTGCAGGAGGTTGAAGTCTGCCTTTATTTATCCTTCTGCCAGTCCCACTGAGATTTCAAGGGCATGCATCTCACAGCTGAAGGTGGCCTATATACTTCGATGCCAGGAGAGACTGTCTCTCCCCAGTCTGTTTATGCATTTGATTTCTGATCTGCAGGAGGGGCTATAGACCCCAGGTCTTGTTAAAGAAAGAAATTTCTGCTCTTGGTTTTTACAGGGCAGGTCTCTCAGCAATGTAAATCTGAGTGGAGAGGTTTTATGCTGGATGACAGAGAGGAATCCAGGCTTAGGATATTTATACTGTAGCTTATACAAAGCTATTTGACATAGTGAATGGATTTGGGGGAGTTATTTCTATTTTTTTCTTCTTCTGAGGAAGAAGCATTGGCGTTTACCTTGGAACGCAGCCTGAACATGTCATCACCTAAAGGCAGGTTGTCCTGACCACAGCAACTTGTGTTGTTTGTGACAAGTTTTGTGGGATGTGCGTTGCCGCTGCGAGATCCTACCTAATGCTGTGATCAGATCTCACAAAGTGGCACAGAGCCAACTCAAGGGAGGCCTCTGAAGGAAAACTTGGCTCTCTGAGACAATTCTTCTCACGGTAGTAGGATGTCCTGGCCAAGGATTCTGCCTGGCCTCTATTTAAGGTAGCAACTGAATGTCCTGGTTTGTGATGGCCACCACAGCCCTACTGTCACGGGGATGTTACTGCCGTTGTTTTGCCCCCAGTCCATCCTGCCTCCCTCAGGTCTCTGTGCTTTCTCGGTGAGGTGCAGGATTCCTCCCCATTCCCTCTTCAGCAGTGCTGACAGGGAACATGGGGCCATGCACCATTGAACAACTGCCGTGCTCCACCCCAGATGTGGACCAGGTAAAAGCACCTATGTGTAGGGTGCACATATAAGTGATAGGTGCTCTTTGAGATCTCCAGAACCACCACAATGCTGTAAAACATCAATGTTCCCCACATAACTAATCTCTTCTATTTTTCCTTCCTCCCTCCCTCTTGTCCCCTCTCCTCTCTCTGTTGCATCCCCTTACAGTGGCAGGCCATCTCGCTGACAGTCATTGAGAAGGTTCAGATAGCAGCAGCCATCCTGGGTTCCCTCTTCCTCATTGCCAGTATCTCGTGGCTCATCTGGTCAACCTTCAGTCCTTCGGCCAAATGGCAGCGCCAGGACCTGCTCTTCCAGATCTGCTATGGAATGTACGGCTTCATGGACATTGTCTGTATAGGTGGGTGATCGCATCTCACGGCACGGCCGAGGTCGCCCGCCCACTCACCCGCAGAGAGGAGCGGGAGATGGCATGGAGAGCCAGCCGGTACAGCTCGGCTCAGATTGAGCCTCCTGGGCTTGTCCTCCTCTTTGCTTTTGTGACATTTATTTTAAAGTCCTCTCTGCTGTGCTGGTCTGGGCAGCCCTGGAGTATCTCCTTGGCTGGGCTGGCAGAGGGAGCAGCAGCAACCCACAAATCTCTCTTCAGAGCAAGAAGAGGGTGGGGAGGTCTGGGAGAGGCTGGGGAGTGTAAGGCTTTTGAGAAACTCCTTCCTTTCTGGAATAGCTAATTTAGGGACTGCCCCATGGTTGACTACGGCAGGGCCTCTCCACGTACAACTCCTTGGCTCTCCAGCCCAGCCTCTCTGCCAGGCAGGGGTGGCTGCTCCTTCTTTGGCCCACCCTGGAGCTGCAAGTCCCAACCAGCCCAAGTTATGGCCCAGCTGGGGGTCCTTGTTGCATTGCTGGTACAGAGTAGCTCTGAGGATGAAGCTGCCCCGCACGGAGCCACCCCAGACAGCAAAGCAGATGCTGTCAGCCTGGCCCCAGAAGGTCTCCCTGAGAGCAGGAGCTGTAACCCCAGTGCAGCCCTGTGGGATGGGGGGACGTAGCTGACGATACCCACGGACAGAGGCACTCACCAGCCAGGCTGCTGAAAGAGCGGTGGTTACCGAAACAGTTCAGTGAACACCAGCTACCTCCAAATGTGCTCCTGAGCAGTATCCACCCCAGAACAGGCTACCAGATAATGCCAGTTCAAGTGACCCTGCTGGGAAGCAAAGAGGGTCCCAGAGAGCTCCTTGTGTCTGGGTCTTCCATCATTGGTTAAAGGCAGAAGGAGCCTCTCAGGAACTCGGTGAGACAAGGCAGTCCCCTTGACTTGGTGGGTTTGTGTTTGTGTGGGTAGGGCCACTCCAGAGGAAGGAGCACAGCCCTCAGGAGGAGCAGGACAGACATTATCGCAGAGCAGCGGTACAGAAGCAAAGCAAACCCAAGGGCAGGGACAGAGGTTTGGACAGCACACCCTGGTGTCTGGGTTCAAATGGCTCTTGGCTTCAGTGCCCTTCCAGCACAGGACTCGGGCCTGACAAAACCCAGACCAGTTCCTCCCACTGTTGCCACCACTGCGCTGGCACAGAGATGTGAGCTTGGCCTGTAGACATCATCCTGCTCCTCCATGAGATGCTGGTGGAGCTACCAAATGTCTCCAGGAATGAAGAGTGGCAAAGCGGGATGAAAGAGAGACAGGCAGTACCCACATGTTGGCACAACAGCCACTGGGGACATCCTCTTGCTGGTGTGATTGGGAATAAATGGTCCCTGTGTGTGCGTGCAGTGTGCGTGTGTGTCGCCTCGTGGGCCGAGGACAGCAGTGGAGAGCCCTGGCCTGGGCGGACATCAGTAACATGATTAACTGGCTTTTATAAAGCTTCAAGAGCTGAGGGGAACTGATTAGCTCATCTGTCAATAGGAGCTAAATCCTCCCACACGGCAGAGAGCAAACCACGCCAGCCATGAACTGAAGGGGAACTGGGCAGACAGGTTTGGATTTGAGGTTTTCTGTTGCTTTCTTATTAATTTTTTTAAAGATCTGGCCTCTGTTTCTTTTCTCCACCTTCTCTGAAGGGAAAAACTGCCCCTTTTCCATCTCCATTGATGTCACCATCCAGCTTAATGCCCTAAGCTGGGAGCTTTGATTTTTTTCCAGCCAGTGGCTGTCCTGTTCCCAGGAACAATCATGGCTTGGGGCAGCCCCTTGTCTCACGCTCCTCCCTGAGCAGCTGGCAGTCCTGGTGGGCCGGGCATGCTGGCTTTCCCACAAACTCAAAACCAAGTGGGAAGCGTTACAGATGCAGTGGGTTAACATGTCTGTATGTGACTTCTCTTGCCCAGCACCTCAGAGCAGTGTCCACCCAGAGATGGCTCCACTTGTGTGCAGCATGTCTGCCTGTGCTGCCAGGCAGCCCACCCATGCTCGACCAGGAGAGATGATGTTCTGGACCATGTGAGCCTTTCATACATTTCAAACATTTCCCTAGAAAAGCTTATATGTGCATGCAGCCAGCCCTCTGCCCCTGCCGCGCTCCAGTGTGAAACTCGCTTGTATTGCGCATCAGTACCCTTTGCAATCCCAGTTGCTGCTGCTCCCGGGTCTGCAGCGGAGGGAAGGACAGCTCTGGGCCATGCTAGCTGAGGTCTGATGTTCACTTTCTTCCTCGCCTCCTCTTCCTCCTCTTCTTTGTCTGTCCAGGTTGAACCAAGTGACAGATGAGGTCTCACGGGGAGCTGTGACTCCCTGGCTGTCGATACGGGCAGGTCTCTCCCCTGAGTGACTTTTCTCCAGCCCTGCTGGTTTCAGTGGGCTGCGCTAGCACTAGCCAAAAGGCTGGTCTGCCCCATGGAGACGCCAGGCCAGGTCAGGCAGAAGAGGCTGATCAAAGAGAACTCCACAACTGGGTTTAATTCCTCATTCATTATAGCTTTGGTTGACTGTGATGGAGGCAGCAATGCCAGCTGCCTAGAAGACTTGCAGTGAGTTCCTCATTGTGAAACAGCTATTTTCCCTCTCTTTATCCTTCTCCCAAACCTTGCAGCCTCGCGCAGGGTCTTTGATCACAGGCGGGCAAAGCCGGCTCTGGAGATTCAGAGTTCTGCTCCTGACTGCCAGCATGGCCCAAAGCCTCTTGTTACTCCTCCCTGGGCTTTAGTTCCACTTCTGAGAGTTCAGGATAAAACCTCTCATGGATAATTGCAGAGACAATGGTTCTTGAAATACCAGGGTGCTGTCTGTGCATTTCGGTGTCTCCTCCTCCGCAGTCCAGCTCTTTTCCCCTTTTGCTTTCCAGCCTGTGGGTGGGTAGGAAAGATTTAGGAACTAAGAAATGATCAGCTGTGGGAAAAGAGCAGGACATTAAGTGCATTCAGTTCTACCATGCTTGGTTTTTTTTTTTTTCAGCTAATGTAACACACATTACCTATGCCTTGTTTGGTAGCAGGCTGGGCAGCCTTAGCTAGCAGAATGTTATACTGTAGGTCCTACACTAATGGTATGAATTCCAATTGTTCCTTCCCCCAGTTTGACCTCAAGTTTTACTTTCACTGGCAGAGGAGCAGAGATTTGAAAGAGCAGATGTGCTGAAGCAGAGCTCCTCTGCAGTTCCTGCCAGTTCCCACTTTGGTTGTCCTTGGATGTCTCCTGTCCACTGAGTAGCCAGTGACTTTTATCCAGGAGGCCGGCTTTGCGTAGCCTGTCCCTGGAGGTGCTCAGCAGGACACTTCCTCTGGCACTGTAGAGTCTCAAAGCTGGAGAAGACACCAAATCTGCAGAGGTCCTGACTATCGTCAGACAGGGAATACGCACCTCGTCAGCAACTGCCCAGCTGTTTTGTGTGATCTTCTCTCTACCAAGTCATTAAGGGACTTAGGTAGCAATTTGCCAAGACAGAGATATCTGTGGCAATTTGCGTGGGCAATCCCATAGCAGCACTGGTCTTTCCAGCGTGGAGGTGAGGGCACGACTGCTCACTTGCACGTATAGCTTCCTAAGCGCAGACCACTTGGTTGTTGTTACCTTCACTTGAGCTGTACTTGATCTGAAATAGTCAGATCACCTCCAAGCTGAGATCTCAAAATACAGCTGTTAACTCGGAGGCTATTGATCCATGCATCAAAATCCAGGGGTCTTGGGTTTGGCCCTCAGCCAGTCACATGCAGCAGACCAGTAGTTTTCATTGGACTTTGCTAGATCCTAGCGCACTCCACAAAAACAGTTGTAAGGGACAGACACCATTTGCTACCCCTTCACCCACAATGGAAACAAAACCACAACCAAAATAAAATGAATCTGCTCCTCCCAACCAGCAGGACAGATGGTATGTCCCCAAATACCAGAAGCTATGTCCATCTGGGCAAGATGTGCAAAATGGTCTTTCAACATTGTTCTCCCCCTTGCTCGCAGACATCTAACAGGAGGGCAGAAAGCACTGGAAAGGATTGCTTGGGACTTGTGGGAGTCTCCGATACTGGATTTTTTTTAAGAACCTGTTAGAAAACATATGACAAGAACAGGTTGAGGAGAGATGATCCCAGTTTGTGAAGGAGGAACAGACTAAATGCTTCTTCATATCCAGCCAGCCCCAACTTCTTTGATTCTGATCTCTCTCTTTCATGTGTGCTATCTCTGGTCATGCCTGTAGGACAGATATGAGAGTTGGAATAAACTAGAAACTGGTAATGGTGCCAGCATAGGTATTGCTCTGCTGTGAAGCCATGTACACCACAGACACTGGAGATCAGCAGCCAAGAAGTGAATGAAAAGTGAGATGGGGACTGTTCATTTGATTAACTGCTCTCTCCATGAGAGGTAAATCCAGAAAGCTGGCATAAAGAGGGATTAGCAGAAATGCGGTTATCAAAATGCAGAGATAAATGGAGTGAGCCTTCATGGGCCTGAGTTACTGAGTAGGGAGAGTAGCAGCTTAGAGCTGGGCTGTAAATCCTGAGAGATACCTGCCTGTTAATTAAATGACAGTCTTTGGAGGAGGAAGGAGGGGTTTGCCTCTCTCTCTGTCAAGGTGCAATCAGGGAAAGTCAGCGTTTGTAGTTTAAGGTGGCATTTGGGGTCAGGAGGACAGGAAACCGTCTCCTGTTAAACAAGGAGGAACTCTGCCAGCTAAGGAGCGCGCGTCACGGACGAGGCCCAGGCACCACCAGCCCAGCTCCGCGGGGGGAGGCCGTTAGCAGCCTGCGCGCACGGGGCTCTCACTGCCACAGTTTGCGGGCGCAGTCCTGGGCGTGCTCCTGCTCCCACAGGAGTATCCCTGTGGTTGGCATGAGGGGGCTTATCCCCAGCGGTGCGAAAGCAATCCGATCCGCCGCCCCTTGGATCACCATGGGACAGAGACTGTTGCTTTGCCCGTGCCCAGCCAGTCCTGGCTCTCTGACTCACCCTGCCTCGGT